CCCTATTGTAAAGTTACACAGTGCCATATTGGGCGGGCGCTGTCAGGAGGTTATGCCAACGCTCTAATTGTGATTCTAATGAATCTGTAATGCACCAGAGCGTTGGCATCTTAACGCATGGTTTGGAAATCTACAACTTGAGAAACTAGAACTAGATAATGGTTTGAGATGAATTAAAACAATGTATTGATAACCAAAGTTGAGTGTCCGAGGTACATCTATAAACACTTCTCTTATGTTCCTTCCTTGTTTTTACTTGAACTTATTTTACAGCATTCACCTGAGTGATGAGGAGAATAAAAGAGTTTATGGAAAATGCAACAATCCCAACGGTCACGGACACAACTACAAAGGTTTGTCACACTCTTTATATTGTAAAAATGTTGCTTGCTTTTACATTGCCATTCCCAGTCACTCAATGTCCTCCTGTCTGTCCACAGTGGAGGTAACAGTGCGTGGAAAGGTCAGTATCTATCTGTTGTTATACTAAATCGAACCGCTGTGTTACGTTTTGAGAAATTTTTCTAAAGATATTTCAAGCTTCATCAGCCATCTGTCATTTTGAATATTAATTATATTTGGAGAAATATTTTAGGTTTCGTAACTGATCATTCAAAAAAGAATAAGATAGAATTCCATAGTATAATTCAGTATTTATTTCTGCACCATCATTTGTTTCCTTCAGTAGAGAGGAACAGAATTGATGCACTTCATGTATTTGTAGTCATCACAATTTCCCCCAAAACACTTAAATGACCAACTCAAACGATCTGTTGGATGTGTGTGTGACCCTCCTCCTGTGAACGCCCACAGATCGATGCTCACACCGGGATGGTCATGAACCTGACAGACTTGAAGGCGCACATCGAGGTAAGAACAGAAGAAGGAATACTTTATTATATCATCCGACGTGATATCTCAATGATCGAGCTGCATTTTTAACAGTTCCTGACACTGTCACAAACTTTGGGCATTATCACAAGTTAGACATACAGTATTATCAACAGTTGATATGGCTTATGTGATAGCAAACAGTTCACCCTTCTTGCATACACAGAGCAACATCAAATACAAACATTTAAGTTTCTGTGTTGAGAAATGTGGGGCGAATCAGAACAGTAGCATTGCAGGCCTTAAAACCGAAATAATCAGCAGAACAGTGTCTTCTGTGGCTTTTTACTGACTGAATGACATTTATTCTGTACTACAGGAAGTCATCATGATTCCACTGGACCATAAAAACCTGGATAAGGACGTTCCATACTTTGCCAAAGTTGTCAGGTGAGTTTCCTCTTCAGTTTCATTTAGTTCCCCCAGATGGTGTTCACATTACACTCATTCCTGCTCTCTTCTGTCCACTCAGCACCACTGAGAACGTGGCTGTTTACATCTGGGATCACATGGTGAAGCTGCTGCCGCCCAGCCTGCTGTACGAGATTAAGATCCACGAGACCGATAAGAATATTGTCATTTACCGAGGAGAGTAGAACGCTGTTTGATGTTTGATGCAATCCAAAAGTATTCTTGTAGGTTTTCTATTCATGAAAAGGTGAAAACATAATGTGTACCCTGGCAGTGTCAGCAGGTTGTACCTGGCTCAACCAAAGGCTTTTAATTGTTATTTTTTCTGAATTATTTTCTAACTTTTGAACGGATTTTCCGCATCTCTTTTACTGCTTTTAGACCTTTTACAAACCCAAGAACCCACACTGCTGAGAAAAGTAATTTTGTGATCGAATGTTATTTGTCTTCTTAGGCATAACGTATTCAATTTATTTTGAAAAATACCAATGACCAATAAAACAACAACTTGAGAACCAAAGAGTAACACTTTATGATACAGACCCATGGTATAGTTACACAACACTGATGGTGTCATATTGTCAAACATAAATAATGTTTTTTACATTTTCTTATAGGTATTTTTTCAAGCAAAGGATTTAAAAACTTCTTCCAGCACTACCTCACAATCAACATGTCACTCGTTAACCAGCCAAGTTATCATTTATGTTAAAAGAATAACTGGCATGGATACACACAATTCATTGGTATGTATAGTTTAACTAAACAAGAATGACTGTTGTACTTTATACAATAATAATAATAACTTTATTTGTATAGCACTGTTCATGTAAGAATTGAGCCCAAAGCGCCCAACAGAATAAATGGACATTGAATGAGCTAAAATACTTTTTGACACCATCGGTAGGACTGTGTACTGCATCAACCACACATATAAGTTTAGCTATACGTACTTGTACACACGATAAACTAAACGGGGAACCAGTCAGAGAAAAACAGCTACGAGACTCCTTTACTGAACGGTGCTCTGAACAGCCAATCAAGTGCTGTGGATGCTGCAAAAGAAAAGACCTCCTCCTCCGACCAGACTCTGCTAACTCCAACTCTGTACATACACACGGCCAGTCAGTGACTGAGATAGAACAAGTGTTTATTTCTAGGTGAGACGCTCTTTGTTCCAACAACACAGTACAGCTCTGTACACACAGAGGACATCAATGTTACTTTAATAATACACTGACAGAGCATTGGTTAGAATGACAATACAACCATTTCTCATTTGAATAAAGGCTCACTTTTGAGGCTGCGATAAGTAAAGCTTTATTTTCTAAAAATAAGTACGTAATAGTACTTCAGAGTTGGATATATTAATGTGTGAGTGCACCTATTTATTATTACCTAGCATTCCTGTCCAACATTATTTACAGGTATTAGCAAATGCTTATACCTGGAAATGCCTAAATGTATTATCAGCTAAACCCTTACTGCGCACACACTGACGTAGCTATTTGTATCTTGTTACTCAGAAGTATAACACGTATTATATACCATCTCAGAACCTTCATAAACATCAAATCTCCCCTAAAAAGAATTGTTGTTTTTGAAGTTTTGCCCATTTACAATAGACATCTTGTGTCTAAAGCTCTGGTGAAGTGTTTTTAAATGCCAAAGTTGAAATAAGAGATGTGTTGGAATGTAATACATGGGTGAAAGTGTACTGTTTCACCAATATGAGAACGAGAATAATTCTCACTACTTTCTCGATAAGGCTCATGAGTGTTGGCGAGATATACTCTCTAGCCAGCACAAACATGTCATGCTTAAATAAAACATTTACTGAACAAGGAATGGTCCCAACAAACAAGCAACAGAGAAAGTAAATCCTGTTGACGTCCCTGCTCCTCCTGCTCTGTCTTCAGGGGGTCACATGGTTTCAGAGGGGCCTCAGAAGAAGGTGGTGTCTGAGGAGAAGGCCCCCGCCAGCCTGAACTCCTCCTTCATCAGCACGCAGAAGAGCCTCTGAGGCAGAGCTTTGGAGTAGGGGGCCGGGCGGGGGACGCAGGTCCGCAGCAGGATCTCCCGCCCCGCCGGGGGGGGAAAGTCCGGCACCTTGTTGCTGCCTCCGCCCGGCTTCTTCTCTAGCCCAAATTCATCCTCCATCGGGGACAGGAGAGCAGCCTTTGGGGGGGGGGGGAAGGTAAATGTTACTAACCCGCAGAGGAAGGGTGTGGAGGTGTGTGTAGTTTGCAGCCTGGTACACCAGTTTATACAGTAGGTAAACACACTCATGTAAGCTTCATCACCCATCTGTGGCAAACATGTAACTGGTGCCACTGAATTATTCTACATTGAATAGAACAATTCCATCATGATTAAAGGACACATCATGTTGAACTCCATGAGTCAGGAACAAAGATTCACTTTAGAGACTAAAATGAGGGCACAGTCTTAGTAAGATTACATTCTACCCCTCCTTTAACGGTGCACAATGACATTCATCTTTGGAATATACTGTACATATGTATATGACTGTTTTCTGTATCAAAATCTAACCCAGGATCTCATCATAACGCTGTCGATGATAGCTTTCGTTTGGCATGTATCGCCAGTTGTGTTTTGTTCAGTAATGAGTCCTAAAACATGGAAATGAGTCTGCCTTTGACCACTTCATGTTTCCTTGTCTCAAAGTCAATAAAGTCTGTTAGACCACAAGCTGAAGAGATTTACATGTGTTGTTCTATATCGTATAAGGCTTCGCCCTCTAAGGCTATCGCTATTGGGTAATCCCTCCTGCACGTGTGCAGCACTGACAGACTTAATCCACGCCCACCTATGACGTGGGCCCCACCTCCGGGCTCACTTCCGTATAAATAGGAAGTAGGCCCTACCATCTACTCCCACTTTTCTTCAGCACCCCGTTGCAGAAGCATTGTCAGGCAAAAACAGTTCTGTTAAGAGCTACTTACCGAAAAGCAAGCAGTCCTCCTAAAAAGTTTCTGTTTTCCGGTAAGATGGAGACTGGACAGGAAAGTCAAGGCTGTGTCAGGGATTGCCTCGTATGCGGAACGGGCTACATTATGAGTTTTGACAGGCACTCACAGTGTGAGTCCTGCCTGGGGTTAGAGCATGCGAACGCTGCTCTCAATCCCGGGGTGTCTTGCTCGCATTGTGCCTGTCTCCCGCTGGCCCTCAGACAGCAGAGAGCGGACGCTCTCGCTGCTGCGGCCGCCGAGGACGATTGGCCGTTCGCGAAACTTGCCCCTCAGGGTGGTTAGTGGCGCGCGTCAGTGTGTTTGCGGCCGAGAGGTACGACAGAGTGCACAAACCCTCTTCTGAGGCTAGTTGTCCTGGGAGCTTCGGCCCAAATGTGACGAGCGTTGAGCACATCCACACACGTCAGCATAACGTGGAGGCACGCGGAATTGATGGCCCGCCGATGCGGCGAATTTATGCTGACACACCATCCGTGTTGACCGTGTCCTCTTTTTTGGGCCGCGACGCGAATGGGCGCTTTCTGCCTGATCTTTCGCGGCTAATGGTGTTGACCGAGTACCGGGACGCAAAGAATTGGGCTGACGCACATGTCTTATCGGCGCGTCCGGAATATGCAGGGCCGTGCTCGCTCTGCGACAACAAGCGATTGGCTGCTAATCTTTGTCGACTCGGAGTTGGCTTCAAAAATGACAGACTTTTTCTACCTTATAGTGTGTTCAGGGACGGGAAATGGGTTATCTATTACCGTCGGCGGACTGATCACACCCCTGTAAACTCTTGTGTTGTGGAATGAGCAACTCTAACTTATTAAAAAATATTGTTAGAGGGAGAGGGTGTATTGGGGTTTCTCAAGAAGGCCAAACAAAGGAGACCCAAGAGAAGCGTCCTCCGTCTGGCGTCTCGCCCCCAGACAAAGGAGGCTGAGGGCGGCGACGTCTAGGACAGAGACACACTGCTCGCCTCTGGAACCTGCCTTCACGTCGAGCTGTCCCGCTAGAGACTGGGCAACCAAACAAATCGGCAACGGTCCCACCGACTCTGGACAAACGCCCCGACCGCCACGACAGCACGACACGACCAAAACGACAACGACTCCGTCCTTTGTGTGGTATCAGCGACTTCGAGTCGGGCCCGCGTCCCTGCCGGAAGTACAGAGACGACCGAGGCGCCGGGGTCTTGGAGTATCTGACCCCCGCGCGTGCGGGTGGGTCGCCGGGGGCTACCACACCTTCGACACCGTGTGGTTTCGTCAGGGCATGCCTGAACTGACCTCGGGAGGTATCTAGGAAAGGACCGTGGGGAGGCCATATTAAAGGGGACGACATCGGTCTCAGTTGGCACTTAGGACAGCAACGGGCAGGCGCGTTTAGGCGCGGACCTCTGACCGCTGACGAACGCCGTGTCCATTCACGTCTCGATCGCCGGGAATGGGATAGAGGGAGGTTCGGAGGGACTCCTGTATCAAAACTGACGAGCTGTAAAGGGTGGTACCTCTCCAAACTCATCGCGTTGCCGATATGACATCCGCGCGGCGGCGGCGGACGGCGTTGTGTTGCGTGTGACTACGTTACGCCAGGTCGAGACATCCGCGGCTAGAAACCACCGCGTCGGTTGCTACCCGCAACGGCGGCGCCTTTAGGCAGGCGACCGGACGGATCGGGGTTTCTTACCGGCACCTCCGTGCAAAGCCGAGGATCTTCTTCCGTGGCCAACCCTTTGAGGAGGCACTTAGGAGGTGGAGAGCACTCCCCGTTGCATACAGTGATTAGCTCCGAAGTAGACGGAGGTCCAGGGAGTGACGGGGCGAGGGAGACCATGAAGGAAATACCGGGCCCTTCGCATCGCCGTCTAGCCACAGGTCAGGGATTGGGGACACGTGGGGCCCTCTTGTGGGGCCTGTAATTAGTAGGCGCGCCTCCGAGATGGACTCGATCCCTTGCCCGCTCTAAGAGAGGTCCGCCGTCGGCGGAATCTATATTTAGAGGCGCTTCAAGATCCTCATCTAGGGCCGGTTAGCTACCGTTGCGGCACGCGCAGCCTCTATCCCCTAGTAACCTCTAGCTGTGTGGGCGGCGACGTGGCCGCGGGGTATTGGACAGAGGAGGGCAGGTCTCCCTCGCCTACTTACTAACCCGCCTTAGTGGCGCCCTGAGGGACTTACCGTCCCCACTCGCGTAGCGCGGGGAGGTGGGGCTAGGTTCTTCAGTTCTCTTGAAACAGCGGGCCTCATGACGGAG